GAGTGTCTCACTTGACTGCGCATTGTGCTGCTCGCTTTGGATGAGCCTACAAAGAAACCGAACTCGACTCCTCTCTCTGTTTCCCATCACGGAAGTTTTATTGGTCGTTCTTTGCAGAGGATAAAGAATATACACACGCGAGTCGCCATATTATATATATTATATTTTTGGAGTCGATGACTCCATCAATTTGTCAATAATGTGGCCTTTAAGTGTATTCCAAAAGCATTTTTCCCCAGTGGACGTCCTCGCCAACGTTTTGGAGAACCGAGTAAGTTACTGGTTGGATCATTGTTTTCCAAAGCGAATGCCGATGTTCATTTTGATCAAACACAAAAGATGACATTGGTCAACCAATTCCGAGGGCATTTTTTCGTCTTTTACTTGAAGAGGCAAGTTAACACTGATCGTCAAAGTTGAAAATAAAAAGGGAAAAGATCTGGTCCGCCTCGTGTGCAAAGTAAGGCACGCTATTTTTAAAATCCTCATTTCTGGGGACGCGTAAATCAGTCGGCTTCAAATGTGCTCTTGGCTGGGTTGCTTTCGTGAGAGGCGAGAGACACGTGAAAATTTACTGTGGAGAGGATTTGGACAATTTAAAGTCGAGCAAAGGCTGAAAGCGCTGAGTCCGTGATCCAAATAATTGGCAATCCATGAATTTGGATACCCCCGACGTGAGTTTTGCTATCTTTTCGGTTCTACGTGTGCCGCCGCCACGTGGCTGCTAATAGTTAGCCTGCGTGCCGACGGCATTTCCCGTCGTCTGTTAGCGCCGCCGCCGAACGTGCGCCTCGTCGTCCGAGCCGAAGCCTCGTGCCTGCCGTACCCCTCAGGGGAACATGACCCTCTGTAACCCTCACGATGTCCCCCCACTCAGCGCCGGCGCGGCGACTTCCTATCCCCACACATTCCAGCCCTTGGAATGGCCACTCGGTGACGTACGCAGTGACGCCAGCACTTGAGCAGATCTCGGTCTCGCTTGGTTTCGACGCCGTGCGATTTGTCACCCCGTACGCACGACCGTCCCGGTCTCGGGCCCTGGCCGCGCCCAGACCCGCTCGTACGGTCTGTAGCGTTGTTACGTAACCGTCGGCGTTGCTTGAAAAGTGATTGACGGCGCCAGGGTGAAAGTGCACGCCGGGCTCTTTTTTTTTTTTTTTGGCTCAGGGCCCCGCCAGCTGCGCGCACTCGAATGTTTGGAAAGCCGCTCCGTAGAGCACATGTGCCAAATTCACAACCCCCTCGTCGCGTAAACCTTGCTCACCAGCTTGATGTGTTCCCCAACGAAACTCCAGTGGTCGAAAGCGTCGTCATGCTCGTACGGGTCGCTGCTCCGTGCGCAAAAGCGGCGGCGGCGGCTGTTTCAGGTTTCGTGAATGGCATGGTATCTATGCTAATTGCTCTTCGTCCGTCTGTCTGGTTTCACGTTAAAATGGTTCCAGGATCTGACGTGGGCTACGCCAAATTGGATGACCGTCATCTTGAATTTGTTTGACTTCTGTGTCAGCCTCACAACAGACACCGACTTCAATCGATGTAAATCAGCACGACACGTCAGCTTTCTTGGGCCTTTAGCATGGTGTGCTAGCATTAAGATAGCAGACGTTCATGACCTGAAAAGACATAGCTAGGCTGAATATTTTGGTGTTCAAAAAAGATTGAAAATGACTGTTGATCTTGCTTTATTTGTCAGCCTTCCGGCAGATGTCGGCAGCGAGGCTAATTTACGCGAGCCCATCTTGGCCATTACGCAGCACGTTAGCATTCATCTAGTAGGCGAAATGGTTTGGTTGATGAGACTCTGAACGGTTGCTGACAATCAGCGAAACGATCCGGATTGGCTTCCATTTGAAGTGAACTGTCAAAGTGACACAAAAGAGAATGAGGCGCATACTGGAACCAAACGCCAAAAATCTCAAGCAAACCCTGTGATTTCATTCGGCAAAGTATGCTAGCTTCATGTTGACGTATCATTCAGAACGCCATCGACAAGCTAACGGAACTTAGCATAGATGTCGCGAGAATCTTAAGCCTTTCAACCGCTCACTGCTGCTTGAACCCGCACGGAGCAGCAACGCATACAAACACAGACGCTGTTGCGCGTCAACTTGATGGTGAAATGAAGCCTCTGCAAATTAAAAAAAAAAAAAAAAAAAGCCCAAAAAACAGGGAGTCTCCATTTTCAAGATGATTGAGAAACGCTGAAAGCCCCCCCCGAGCCAGACTCTCTGAATTGCAACACAGCGTTTCTGGCAACAGGCTGGTCATGCTGCCTGCTAGCTCCTTCTGCCCACATGTGCATGTCTCATTTAAAAATTCTGACGCAGAAATGTCTTTGTTCGAAAAAGCCCAGTCCAAATACAAGCGGTAAGTGGCCTTCGGCTCGTATCGCGCTTCTCCACGTAGCAAAGCGCTCGACCCGCTTCACACTGACTTCGCAACTACGAGGCACGCTTGATCCAAAAGAAGGAATGTTCAATTCCACCTTTCTTTGTTTGATTTTCGGACCACCGCCGACTTTGACTCGAGTACTCGCTGAGACCAAGTTCCACATGTCAGATGCTGCTCAGTTGACGGAAGGATTTGCCAATGTGTCAATCTGCCACCGTGTGGCGCCAAGGAGTACACACGACCTTAAAATAAGGCTGGTGTCGGCCAGATGGCGACACCGGGTATGGGTACTCGCCCGTCACTCCGAAAACGTACGCTCCTTGAAGGAAGTGAAGATGATCACGTTCAATTTTCTCGGACCGAGTGGTTCGCGAGTGTGAGGAGTCAGTGCGTTCAGCTCGGGCAATGGACACCGACGCAAGGCGCAGTCTTGCCCTGGATAATTTCACATGTCTGCTATTGAAGAAGGCTCATCATTATGAGACTAAATATAGCCTCGGTGTCTCTGTCCCGTGTGTGCATGTGCGTGTCATTGCGGCGCACTAGAGCGGCCCGTCGTTTTGGAGCGGGGGCTAAAACGAGGTAGCCGGACCGTGTTTTAGGCCGTTCTGGCGGCGTTTGTGCTGGGGGAGGGGCGGCTAAATATAACTGGCCTCATCGGGAGGAAGACCAGTCGGGAGAGAGGGAGCGACGTCAATATGGAGCTGCAATTAGAGGATTCGAGCGGTGCCGGGAAATCGTCGGGTTTCTCGTGCGTTTGTTGTTTTGGCTGCCGGCAGCGTGGCTACTTTTTGCATGAGTCATTGGACGCGGAGGAGCGCTTGCACTCCATGCCTTTTGCATGCTTGGCTTTGTTGACTTGTAGACATAGTGGGACCATTGGGAGGCCTTCCTTGACTTTTTTTTTTTTACGGCCGTTTCAGCCCGTTCGCAAGCATTTAGGGGCACATACAGACAGTGTCATTTTTCCAAGAATATTTGGCTTATTTTCCTTCATTAGAATGCTCATTAACATCAGTCGGGCTGTGGTTAAAAAAAAAAAAAAAAAAAAAAAATCCATTGCCCTAAAGCGTCGCTGGCATCACGTCACCCATCCACGCAACCATTTCTGGTCAGGACGGCCTGTCACTTCCTGTCGCGCCGCATTGAAACTATTCCTGAGCGTTTCACAGCACCCTCTTTTGGTGGGAGGTTCCTACTGCAGTCGAGCAATGCCCGAATACCTTTCCGATCGCTGGAGTGGATCATCGTATCGAAAAAGACTGAATTGTTGAATTCCACTGTCGACCGCTAGATGGCGGCCCGCTGTTTCGTGTGCCGCTTTGTAAATGTGACGAAAGTCGGCGAAGGCAGCAAGTCGCGTCTTTCAGCTCACCTTAGTTTTGGCTCCAGATTGTTGATTGTCAGGAAGCTGCTTTTTATGCCTCCAAAAAGCGCCCGTTTCAGGACGTGGGTCTCGAGGCGTGACTATGAGTGTACATTGAGAGATCGATTTGGATGTGGGATTACTTACTGTTTGCAGACGATTGATTTGAATGATTGATGGATTGATTGATTGATGTTTTGGGTGCGGAGCGGCATTAACCTGCCGGCTCGACTTTGAGCGCTGCGCCCTCATCGGCAGCAGCGGTGACCTGATTGTTAAAACAAACAAGCGTCAGGTGCCTTGGCTCTTCCCCTCCCGCCGACTGTTTGCTCGCAGTGTTTACCGCCGCTCTTTACGTAGTTTCGGAGCACTGTGTTCTCCTCGATGAGATAATCCAGTGTTGATCTCGGAATAATTTTCCTGATAGGCCAGCAGCTCTGTATATACCACTGAGGGTATTTATTTCTCGTCCTTCCTATCTGTGTTAGTCTTCTAAGCCGCTGCTTATCAAACTTATTTGAAGCAAAAATACTTGTCGTGACCAAAATGGGAATAACAGAGTCCAGGCAGGCTAATTCAAACATGGACTGTCTTAGTCATGTAAATGCACTGCCGCAAAATGTCAACTGAGAAGGTCCACTATTTTGGCCAGGGTTTTGAACACGTTTCAAATACCGCTACTAAAAACACATAGAATATATTGGGGGGGGTGAGAGAGGAGAGAAAGAGGCAGAGAGACGGGGAGGGAGGGAGAGAAAGAAAGAAAGAGAGAATAGCGGCGTACCCATTCCTCTGTGTTGCCGATAAACAATGGCATCGTTTTTGACAAAACGAACTCATCCTCCCCCGAAATACACCAATAGGCATGCACAAAGACGTCCGTTATGAAATGAACCTCGAGCTTTCTGTCGGCGTAAAAAGCAGGATGACAGTGGACGACTTGCAATCATTTCCAACCAAAGCTCCGTTCGACTGAAATGCGTCCTGTTTTCGTTCTTCTGTCACATTGACGTCTCAACCGCCTGTGCAGCCATCCCGGTGGTCGACGGTCCAATTCAATCCAATATCAACAAGAATGACACCCAAAATGAGTGAAAGTCAGTTATTGACTGAAAAAAAAAAATCTGCCAAACAGCGGGACCACAAACCTGCAACCCGTGATGGCAATGTGTTGACTCGATTTTATTTTGCATCGTTCTTAACTGTTCTCACCAAGCCCTTTTCCTTTTCTGTGTGTTTGCAGAGTGCTAATGGCAACGGCGTCCTTGGAGGAACAATCTGGGCGCAACATCTCAAATCTCCGCTTGCTGCTTTTTTTTTTTTTTTTTTGGTGGGGACTGGACGCGTCCCTGGAGAGAAACTGCTTTTTCTTTTTTTTTCTTTTTTTTTTTTTTCTGGCAGTTGCGCAGAGCAACGGGGATGTGTGCCAAGTGACGTTCTCCAAAAAATAGCTTTCATTCCGTGACTGGGAGTCAATCGGAGAAGTGTTAAAAAGAAAAAGGAATGTAAGCTCTCCCATAACCGGAGCAACTCAAATTGTAAAAAGTACAATTCAGGATGGAAAAGAAAATCTTGACAGGTTTGGAACTTCAGAAGAAAAAAAAAAGTGCCTCTTTCTTATTTTAGACACGGCGTTCCGACGTGTTGAGTGAACCTTTTTTTTGTAATTGCCTAAAAACGGTGGCGAGCACTTCAAACAGCCGAATCAAGTGGAGGTCCAGTGCCGCCTTCTCGCGTGTTCATATTTCTCCTCAACTCTTTTCACTCCTCTGTCTCGCTTTGGTTTGATTTGTCATGCAATAGAGCCGTACAGCAGGAATATTCCCAAAACCGGATGCGGAAACGAGTAGCCCAAAAAGCCGCAGCATAAGCACACAGCTCAGGATGATTTGTTTACAGGCCAAAAATCACCTTTACCTCTCACGCGCAAATCTCTCAGTTACTTCCCGGCGGTCACGACGGTGGACAGCTTCTCATCTTGTCAGGGTGCATGAAAGGGTTCAATGCCTCTCACGCAAATCAAAAGACCTCCCTTTACCTCTCACGCGCAAATCTCTCAGTTACTTCTTGTCAGGGTGCCTGAAAGGGTTCAATGCCTCTCACGCAAATCAAAAGACCTCTCACACTCACAAAAAAAAAAATCAGCCTAAAACCTCTCACACTCACAAAAAAAAAAAAAAAAACTCATCTGCGAAAAAAAGACAGCCAGCCCAAAAAAACTGTCAGTCCAAAGAAAAACGCACGAGTGAGCTGGAGAGGTTTTTGCTGAGTGTGAAAGGTTAGCAGGAGAGTGTTGTGATCGTGAATTTGGTGTGCCCGGTGAGGATTTCTCTTGTGACTTTTTTCAGTGAGGATGGGTTTTCTTTTTTTTGGGGGGAGGGGGTCTTTTTTTTTCTGTGCGCATGTGTCAATGTGAGAGTTTTTTTTGTCAGGCCGGAGCAATTCATCGGTCTGCCAGTTCGATTTGGCGGGTGTTTGCCGATCATTTTGACCTTGACGTACTCTGCGGTCGGACACAAACACCACCGATCTTTCCATTTCTTCCACGTTCATCGAGACCACAAACGTGCATCCTTGAAGGATTAAGAGTTTTTGTGGCGTGGGAGAGTATTTTGTGTGCATGTGAGAGTTTGGGTTTTTTTTTTTTTGGGATTGAGTGTGCGTGGGGTTTTTTTGCTGTGTATGACATATTTGAGGTGCATAAGAGATTTTTGGGGGCGTGTGAGAGGTTTTGTCTGTGTGTGTGTAGTGTGTAGTGTGTGTGTGAGAGAGAGAGAGATAGAGAGGTAAATGTTTTTTTGACCTACGGGGCACCTCACAGTTGTCCAACTGCGTTTCCTCTCAGGACAGCTCATCGTGTCGTATTCGTGGCTCCGCAAAACCGTTTTTGACAACCGTGCTAATGCTAACCCGCTAGCTCATTTCTCCAATCTCATATGTTCATTGGCGCGTCCGGCACATCAGTGCCAATCTGTTTTTTTTATTTTATTGGAGCCGTCACACATCTCTTTTTCTGGACGTGGTCTCTCTGGGGTGTGTCTACGTGGTGGGTTTGGCGCGCAAGGGACGTAGCGGGGGACTCGATGGTCGGCCGTGGCGCTGACGAGGAGACTCGCCCGGAGGCATTTCCCCGCACGACGCGGCCTTCGGCGTTCCACTTTTGGATGGCGTCGCGTTGTTTGAAGCTTTGATCGTTTTGCAAGCGAGCGCAAGAACGGTCTCGCCTCCCGGCGGTTGCGACGGTTCTGCGGAGATCAAGCCGCCGTTGACTTGACTTGACGTTTGACCCGAGGCTCCGCTTTGACCGGTTGAGCGATGCGTGAAGGGAGCGTCCCCGGGGCGAGCGCGACCGCCACCGTCATTGTTGCAAATTGACTTGATGCGTTTGTCTGCCAAGTTTCTCAACGGCACTTCATTGGAAGCAGATTTGCATCTGCCGTTTGTATTAGCAGCTACCAAAGTAGTTTGGCCCAGTCGCAGCAGGCGGACATATGAAATGTTAGCGAACCGGTCTCCAAACCAGGGGTGGGCAAAGTTTAACCATGTGCGGCCAAGATGACTTCTAAAAAAAAAAATCAATCAATAAAAGAGCTGCGTTAGTTTTGCTCCGCCAGCTCAATGCTATCGCATGACGGGAAACGCGGCGGTGTTGTTCCACTTGAAGCAACTGACATCCGAACACAAACTGCTGTACTGAGGAGCTTAGAGAGGAGCCGCAGACCCCTGGAAAAATGAACATTTGCCCAGCCCTGCTCTAAAAAAAACCCAAAGCAAGCCCTCGAGCACGACCGTCCTTCGATTGGTTTCAAACTGCCCTGGGCAAGCGCGCCCATTCGATAATTTTTGCTTGATTCTTCAAATCCACTTCGTTTGTGTGTACGCGTCTCTTCCAAATGGGATCCGACCGAATGGGAAGAACGTGTGAGTGCTGCCGTTTGTTGCTTGAGAAACAACACAAACAACAAAAGAACTCCACTAAAAAAAATCCTGCCAAACAACAAATGGACTCGTGGTCTCTTTTGTTGTGTCAAACTGGGCTTTTTTTTTGTTGTTTTTTTTTTTTTTTTTTGGGGGGGGGGGTGCATTGGCCGGCCCGGATTTTACGCACGTTTCTGATCTTGAGGGCAGTGCAAACGTCCAGTCCTCCCTTTGCCCGCGTGGCTTTTCTCCGGGTACTTCGGCTTCACCCCGCGTTCCGGAAAGCATGCTCCGTCGTCGAAAGGAAAGCGGGGTTCAGTGACACCGTGGGGGCCACGTGGGAAGGCTCTCGGCCTCGGATGGCGTCCCTGCTCTAAACTCGGCCGCAACGGGAATCAGTGGAAGTACGATAGAAAATGGACGCTTGCTTGTCTACATGGCACCTGCGATGGACCGGTGACCACATGCTCATATAATATGCCCCCCGCCCCCGCTCTCACTTCACTAAAGCTCAATTAGCTGCCTGTCACTGGCTCGTCCACAGATGGCAGAGTAACCTGACCTGAACAGGTAGTGATTGTCCACCCACTGCAGACATGAATAGAAATGAGAACTTTGCCTGCACCTGCAAATGATGTAAGACGAGCGGGAAAAAAAAAAAAAAAGGCAGACTTGTTCCACGAACATGTTCCGCTCTGTTGTAAAGGCCACCCGCAGCTGCATCGCACCACCGCGGCACTTTCTCAAGAGAGAAGACAAACTCTTCATGGCGCGAGGCCACGCACGCGCTTCACATCTGCAAAGGACACCGACCGGATGGCAGGTCGACCGTCTCCGGATTTCGGCGCGCGCTTTCTGACGACGCTCATGTCTGTCGGTTTTGCGGTTTCAAGCCACTTGCAAATTGCCGCTGAAGCCGTTGGAAAGTTTTAGACGGGTACGTGACACGCCGCTTCGTCTTCGGGTCACGTCATTCGACGGTTCTGCGCTACATGATGACGCCAGGGCCGCACATCCTCGGAACACAAGGAAAAGCCGAAAAAACGTCGAATCCCCGCTCGCATTTCAAAGGGTTTCTCCCGCAGCGACCTGCCCGTTGCGTGCCTTTATGGGCGGGGCCTAAAACTGGCAACGCATTCGGTCGTCCGGGCTAGCGGGTGCTTTAGCCCCGTCAAAAAAAAAATAAAAATCTGTCTGGCTCCCGTTCAGCCTCCCCAGCAATTCACTTCGGCCTCACAAAGGGGGACGGCCCACGGGCCGGACAGACGGGGTGAGTCTTTCGGTTACTTGCGCCTTCGCTCAGAGTTGCAAAGCAAAACCATTGAACATTTCGCACCCGTAACGCCGCGGGGTATTGACTTGAGCACGCGGCAAGATAATACCCCGCGGCATTATGGGAGAAAAACCACCCAATGCTGATGTCATCATCATCAAAGCATCACCTTTAATCAATGTTGACTGACCTCATTTTCGAGCGTGTTGCTATCATGTCGGCCAAACGCTGAAAACATTTGCACGGGCGGGGGGGAATGCCGGTTTTGGTATTCGTATTTTGCAAATGCGTTCAAAGGAAAACGTTGGCAGTTCTACGCTTTTGGTGCGTGTGCTACTTTTTAGGGTGCATCCCATCCCGCCGACTTGGGGCCCCCTGGCTCCTTATCCGGCGGCGACAGTCTCGAACTTGAACTGGACATCCGATTTGAAAGTGGATCGTCAAACTGATGCCGGCTTCTTCCGTCGTCCTTTCCCGACAGTAAGTCATGCCTTCGTTCTATCTCGCCGGGATTACTGTCACGCGCTCGATTTCGGCGTCAGACGCTTCCCCCCACCCGCCGCTCGCGTCGCTCCTCCTCCGGCATCCCTTCACGGGCTCCCTTTTAGGATTCTTTTGAAGATCCTCTGATTTGTTTTCCAATCTTGAAACGGCCTGGCCCCGCCTGACCTCTGGCGGCTCCCTGCCCGGTGCCTCCCATCTGCGGACCAGACGCTACCCGAGGCGCCGAGGACGACGCATCAGCTCCGAGAGGACGGAGCCTCTTCCGTCGCCGCTCCCTCTCTGCGGAACCAACGAAAGCCGATGATGACGCGCTTTCACACTTGAAGTGGCCGCCCGGGGGCGAGCGCCAGCTGGACGCGTCCCGCCACGAAAGCGATTCTGGGACCCGTGCCCTGGAGTGAAAGCGTGCGGGGCGCAAGGGGGCGGCTCTCTCTGCCGGGGCTCGGTTTCTTTGAACGGGTCCAGAGGGCCGCTTTGAAGGCTCGTTACATCAGCAGTCGACCCACGCCGGCAAGGCCACAGGAAGTCTTTCTGTCTTGATGACTTCCTGCCGAGCGCAGAGGACGGGAAGCCGACTGCATGTACTCGTGAGGAAATGGCGACTTGTTCCCATCGCCCGGGAGGGGAATTTCGCGGCCGTGCCGATCGTGATAAGACACGTGAAAAAGTTGCCAGGGCCCGGGCCCCAACCTGAACAGGAAGTTGGCCATTTGGCTTGAAGGCAGCCATTTTTTTTTTTGTGGGTTTTTTTTTTTTGGGGGGGGGGGGGGGCGAATTCCATGGAAAAACAAAAAAACAGCACGCAGCAGCAGTTTTATCCTTCAACGTGAAATTTGCTTGGATGTGCCCATGGCGACAGGATGCACAAAAACATCCGGAGCTGAAATTCAGAAGGAAGGCGGTCATAATGGTTGAAAGCGATCACTTTGATCAACCGACGCAAAATGTGCCAGTTGTGTTTATCGTGAGGGGGCGAACAAAAAAGCCTCAGTGAGCCATACCTGAAATAGAAAAGGAAGGCCCTCATTTTGGCTTCCGCCAGTGGTTTGGGGAGACCAATTCCATGAAAAAGTTTCAAACAACGAGCCCACAGCAGCGGTTTTGCCAATGGGGGCAAAATTTGGTGGATGCGTCAATGGTGAGACAAGAAACACAAAAAAAGTCTGAAGCCAAGCGTGAAGGAAGGTGGCCAATTTGGATTCAATTCTGGATTTGCACTTTTTTGCAAGAAGCCTGCACGCCACTGGTGCTAATCCTCCTCACTTTTTTCTGACTCAAGAAAGTGAATTGAAATGCGCAACCGTGGCCCAAAACTGCAAATGGTTGGCTTGTTGTTGAGCAATCTTCTTCCCTCCTCCCTCACCACAAATGCATTTTCTTTCCCACCGCCATCCCCCTCTTTGACTCGGCAAAACAAAAGGCCTTTCTCCGTCTTCCTTTCGCGCCCCACGCAATCTTCCGAGTTGTCATTTTGACGGCTTTGTTTTTAGTCGTCGGCTGACTGTGTGCAAAAACGATCAGTTTGAAAGAAAAATGGAGAAAGTGAGTTGAAGGAAAGCGGCGGAACGAGGTGAGGGCGTGCCCGTCCCGGCCTCATGTCTTGACGGAAAGCTCCCTGAAAAGCGTCGGCACATGCTGCAGAATTCCCCTTACTTCGGAGGTGGGGGGCGGGGGGGGTCGGGGGCTCGCGAGAGGACACCATGCGGCCAAAACCACGCAGGAAGTAGTTGACACGCATGAAAAGAAGGTGCAAAGCAAACGCTCGGGCTCGAGGCGTCCCGGTGCAAACATTCCTCCCAGTCATCAAGTTCAGCTCCCTGGGAAAGCGGAGCCCTCCGCTTTCCTCGTTGCACAGGGTGGCGAGGGTCTTTGGTGTTGGTGGGGGTCGTGTTAATCCGACGTTGGCTACAATGCGTTTGACTGGCAGGTCCCCTCACAATCTCCGCCGCGGTGAGGCCCCTCGCTGAAGGAGCTGGCGACAAGCGTTGGTATGTTAGGTGGAGCTCGCTGGCCTCCAGTGAGGGTGGCGGGGTCACGGGATGTGAAAAGGGGCCTCCCATCTCAGTTCAGCGTGGACCCGATGCCCGTCATTCGACTCGACGGCCGGACTCAAAGACAATTCTTAACGTTTTGCTCGGCTTGACTTAAAAGAGACACGCAGTGGAAAGTAGACTTGATATTAGCATCAAGTGAGGGGCTCACGTATTGACTGAAAGACCGAATACGTTGCTAGGTAGCGAAATAACTCCAGCGTTCCATCTCAACAATTCAGGAGCAAATCGTTCTCAGTCTTTGCACTTTTTTTTCTTCAAACATATTGAATGGAGTGAGAAACAAATCACAAAAAAAAAGACTTGACGGGATCTGCAGTGGCCACGGTCACAATTAGCTACAGGTTTGAGATGCTAAAATGTTGCCGGGACAAAGGTGGTGGCTGACTTACATTCGACAAGAGGACCGACCGCCCATTCCAAACAGGCAAGACTCGAATTGAGAGGTGTCAATTTACTTTTGGGGTCCATATTCCCCTGCAAATTTCCCCAGTGTGGGACTAATAAAGGTTATCTTATCTTATCGAGCTCTTGGAGGGAGTGGGAGTGAGGGGTTTCCCACGGACCCTCGCATCATTGTAACATCGGCTGTACATGACCCCTCAATTCCATTCATTCATCCATCCACCATCTGAGCGAGCCACTTCTCCTCACGAGGGTCGCAGGCGTGCTGGAGACTGTCCCGGCCGCCTTCGGGCAGTCAGCGGGCTCAACCTTGAATCGGTCGCCAGCCAATCGCGGGGCTCGCGTCGACAAACGAGCCTTCACGGCGGCCACATTCGCGCCTCGGCCAAGCCAAGCGATGTTTGTGACGGGTAACGAGCGCCCTCTAGTGGACGGGGAAGCCTCAACAACGCACTTCTCGTTGCCCCAATTCCTTTCTTTGAGAGCTCAACTTGGCAAAATATTGCACAAGGGCAGCTTACTGCGTGGTTAAGGGTGAAACAAAAAATGTGACATCATTGTTGTCAGCGCAACTCCCAAAATCGTCTCTTTGAGGTGTGATAAGTTAACGACTGCTTCTTCTGTTTTATGTCAAGAAAGAACAAAGTTGTACAAGCAGGCAGATCATTTTTTCCATCACGTCGTTATTTCACCAGCATGCTCGAGTCTTGACGGGAGTGCAGAAGAGGAGACGGAAAATCTGTGTCAGCACCCGCGGTAGCTGCTGCCTGCATGGGGGGGGGGGGTGTCGGAAGATACTCCACAGTCTTTGTTCTCAACTTGAATTGCGGGAAGAATTCATTTACAATTTCTCTTGGGAAGCGGACGGAAAAAAAAGGAGAACAGTCACCCAAAGTTAGCTTTAAAATGCTAATGCACACCTGCGACCCGAGTGAATAGAAGCGTCGACTGGGGACAAAAATAAAAATAAAAAAATGGACACACTCATTTGGAAAAAGTTCTAAATCGACATGCTTGATATTCATGGCAATACTGTGAGTTCGCACAACAAAGGAAGCTGTTGTTTGCTTCCAAGCGATTTTCGGAGTCTTCTTTTTCACTTCCGGTATCGCTTCTAACTTGTGGTTCCCTCAAACTCGCATTTGTGTAGTGAGATGCGCGAAAGGCACATTTTGACCAAAGCCCAACCCCAAACGCGGATTTCAAAGTGACCAACTTGAGATGTGGAGTTCATCCAACTCTTGTATTTATTTCCGGTGTGTCGAGAATGGATGGGGGAAATGGTGAACGAGCTTCGTGTCTCTTTCATCGTCGGCCTGGACAATCCCAACAGGCGTCGTCGGGATTCTTGACTCATCGGACTTTTGCAGACTGCTTGGAAGAGAGTTGCAGTGACAAAACTACTACAGGCGTACTTGTGTTCACTTTTTTTTTTTTTATTGGTTTCATTTTGTTACAAATAATCCAACTTGTCCCGACCTGAACCTAAATGGACTTGAAAGAGACATTCCCCGTGGAAATTCGGAGGTAAGTCAGTTCCAACAAATCTTCCTGGAGAGTCTCGTCCGTCCCGTCGTCAAACACCTCACTTGCGCTTGATTCCTCGTCTCTTTGAGTGTTTTTCTGACTTTGGAGAGTTGTCTCGGGGCTTGTGGGCAAGGGGACTCCAGAACCGGAGAACCCGACTCCTGATTTTGTCAAATTTGGTAAAGCCGCAGCAGCGGTCGGAGTGGCGGTGGCGTTTCCCGCCAGCTCACCTTGGGGCCGCTTGGGCCGCCTGACGATGGGCGAGTTCCCGGCGACAGCCACGGGCCCCCCGCGGAGGGAGGCGTGCACGCGCGTGCCTCGTACCGTGCTGCTGCTGCTGCTGCCGGCGGACGTGCCAAAGAGCCTCGACCCGCCCTCGACGAGCCTCCGCCCGGCGCCTTCCGAGCCGTCGCGAGCCGCTGTCGGCCCCGTCGCCAAGCGCCTTTCGGAGCGCGTTTCGTTCCGCTCGGTTCCGAACGCCGGGACCTCATCTCGGCGTGGCCCGGCCCTTTCTGGAATTGGGCTGGTACTCGCAAACTGAAGCGCGTTCTGGTCAAGAGCTCGGAAAACCTGCAGAGCAGCAGACCCGTTTGACGGTCGGGCTGCGGTATTGGCGCCCTCGAGCCGATGCGATGGCTGTTTCAGCGGCCTGCGCTCCAAGTTTTGGGGCCGTGGAAATCCAATGGCAGACGGAGCAGCCGTGGTCCGTGGTTCAGCTTTTCTCTGGCCGAAACTGTATTTGGACGAGAGGGAGGGGTAAACGTTTGCCATTTTCAGCCCGTAGCTTTTTCCTCTGCTGGCAAAGGCCTTGGAGGCCGGCCACTTGGATCTTTTTGATCCCAGTAACCTGCCGGCGCGTTCGGAGGGCGTCGGGCGCGCGGGCCTTCTGCTTGTGGTGGCCCCCACCGTGTCGGTTGCAGGCGCCGGAGGGGCCACGGCATCGGGCCAAAGTTTCTCTCTGTAACTTTGAGCTGCCAAGTGTGGTGGAAAATGTTCTCTCAAGGTGGCTGGATAGCGACCGGCGTTTCGTGGCAGATGGACCGCATGGTCTTTCTCCTTGGGCGACACCGTCCTGCTGTACTTGGGAATCCTTTCAAACTTCTCAATCTCGGACACTGACGGGGAATGCCAAGGTTTCCCCAAATCTTCCCGCCTGAGGAAAGAAGGCTTGACGAGAAACGACTTTGTCGCTCGCCTTCCATCATCGGCGAGGGACGACGTCGGTTTTTCCGGCTGAGGACCACCGTGTTGGAAAAGGGAGGCGTCCGGGTTCTTCTCCGCCGAGGCGTTCACGCCCCTCGGTGGGAATCCGCCAGGCTGAATCACGTTGGCCCTTCTGGGCACGAACGCTTCGGTGGGCTCGTCGGCGTCCTTGCGGCTCCCGCTCGCATATCGGCCCGGCTGCGACCAAACGACGGATGACGTTTTCCAGGCTGATTGACCTCCCGCGTCATCTCTTCTTCTTGCGAGCCTTTGAGGAGCGTCTCCACTGGGCATCCCCGCAAACCTCAGAGCTTCTTCTTCTTCTTCTTCTTTTTCAGGGTGTCCGGAGCTCTGATGCAAGGGATGGCCAGGAGCCGATTTCAGAACGACCACTCTGTATTGGCGGTCGAGGTTTTCTCCTTGCCTGGCGAGGAGGCCGTTTGCTGGACCCTTCCTCTCTGGCAAGATGGCCTCGTAATCTCGGTCCCTTTGACGGGAAGGAAAAACACCCTTCGTGTTCTGCAGCTGGCTCGATGGACGTCCAGAAGAGGGGGACGGATACTGGCTGGACGCAGAATATGACGACATCTTCGCAACATCAGCACCGAGGACTCGTACTGGGCCGGCTACGGGTGAGAAGTAATGGCAGGGTGAAGAAATGCTTTCTTATTTTTAGTCAGCGGAAAACAATAGACGCCAAGTCTGCACACCTCTGCTCATATATACACACACACACACACACACACACACACACACACACACACACACAAAAACATACTGTATATGATTTTTGTCATTAAAAAGAAAGCCAAGATAATTTCAGAACTGTCTTTCTTCGCAATTAATGACTAATAACCCACGCAACTGAAAACACGCAACGTAAAAAATTAAAACAAATTCGGACCAAGTTGGTTTATAATTTTAGACCAAAAAAGTATTTGCTCAGGTTCTTAGTTTTAAAAGGGGTCAATTCAACGAGCGTCATAAAATTAGCATGAAAAGCGACAATTTCAAATGGAAAAAGGAAGTTAAAATCGGACCATTGGCGGACTTTGACACTCGCACTTTTCTCAGATTTTACACCCGAACGTCAACGTTCTTTCAAATATTTTGTTGAGTTTTGACTAGAAAATCAAAGAAGAGAAATTTTAAGAAATTCTTTTTGTTTAAAACAAAAAAAAGTAATCATCATCAGTTTACAAAAAATAAGACCCAAAGGGTATCTTTTTTTTCTATTTTGACTTATCAATATGCACATTGATTAAAAGAAGAAAAGAACGCAACTAAGGACAGCGATAGATGTTCTGTAATGTTATTGTGGTTGACATTTTCAGAACATATTGTTCCACTTCGCAATCTGCTTTTTGGGCTCACCTCGTGCAGAAGGCGAGTGTGTGATGGATGACATGACAGCCGCGCCGACCAGCACAAAGACCAAGAGGAGCCTGCGGATCAGATTCACAACGCCCACAAAACAACAACAACAACAACAATTGTGATAAGCTTCAAAATGTGCAAAACAAAAAAAAAAAAAAGTACAAAGAACACCTTTACCTCGTGACACGGGGCATTATGAGTAAGTCCCTGCAGTGCTTGGCTTGTGGGATGCTCAAAAAGGTTCCAGTTGTGCTTTCAAATCTGTCAAAGCAAGCGCTTGGGAGTTCTGATTGGAGGCAATGCCTTTCAGCTGGTCCACTCGCTCCGACACCATTAAGCTCTTCCAGCAATGCCGCAGGAGGAACCCAAAACACAAGCAGGTTTTCATATCATCGATAACACAACATGGAACAACAAAAATGTATAGCTATATATGGATGGGTGTGTGAGTGAGTGTGCTTATGTGTAGAATATTTGCGACAGAGGGAATTATAAATATCACATACTGTGCGCGTATTAAAAGACCAGAAAAAGGCAAGTGGTGTGTACTACAAAATAATTAAAAAAAAAACAAGAAATGAATCACGCATTGTATGAAGTGTTCAAGTCAAGTGGTGAATTCCACACAAAAGGGGCCTGGAAAGGAAGAGGGGGAAAAAAATGGAACCCCTTGACACCAATGTCAACAATCAACACGTGTCGATCAGAAAGAGACGCGTGCGCCCATTTTGGTTGCATGCAGCCACTTTGCACGGCAAAAAGGCTGCCAAGCAAGGCAGCTTTGTTTGGACGGCGCATTTCATAACGAAGGTAAGGCGTGACATCATTCAGAGCATTGACAAACAAATTTGGTCAAGAGATTTGAAAGCGCGGTCAGGAAATCCCAAGTAACCAAATTGACTAAAAGAACGCACTGTGCAAGAAATGGGGAATTTGGATTTTTCAAATTGGTTTTAAAAATTGCCAGGGGTCTCAAACTCAATTTACCTGGGGACCGCTGGATCTAGGGTCTGGGTGAGGCTGGGCCGTATCGGCCCCCCCCACAAAAAATGCATTTATTAAAAACTGAGAAAAAAAATATCTATATATATATATAGATATATCTATATATATATATACACACACACATAGTATTTTTTTTCTTCAATGCTTTTGCTTTGCTATACCGTACACTTTTTTAGTGCTTTGGTTCCGTTTTTCCACAAGAAAAGCTCTGGTATAACATTCCACTGGTGTAAAAAAAAAAAAAAAGTTGCTGTCATTAGGGGTTTGGGAACAAGAAAATGCTTAGAATGTATCTTTCATTTATTACATATGAGAATTTAAAATTTTGGTAGACATTTTAGAAAGGATCATGGAAGGTGACATGTTTGAACTGCTTTCGGGGGCCACATAAAATGGTGTGGCGGGCCACATATGGCCACCGGGCCTTGAATTTGACACCTCCGCTGTACGTTCTCTATCTTAACATGTTTTCATATATTTCACATTACATTGCTTTCTTTTTTTATGAAAGATAAAGGAGCAAGAATTTGTTTGGCTTTGCGGGGCTAGAATCCGTTGATGAAACTGGTGTCATTTGCGAATTCTAGCCCCGCATTTCAATTAATCTCCCCGTCGGCAAAAAATGGTTTTCATTATGAAGGGGAAAAAAAGAGTAGGCAAGATCGTCGTGGGGAGCGTACGTAATGAAAATGGGGCGTGCGTGATGACGCCACACGCCGCGTTGGCTCACGCAAAAAAAAAAAAAAAGTGGCGAAAACTTTTCGGTTGAACCCCCTGCCCCCACCCCCACCCCATTCCCTTCCCCGTGTGTTTTTGTTGGGGGGGCAAAATTGCTCCGTAGTCGGTTCGGGTAAATGTGCCTATTCGTCCGCTGTTGTCGGTAAAATGTGAGTGTAGACGTTCGTTGGCGGCGAAACGGCGACGAGACGAGGGTGGGGGTCGAGTGAAAGAAACAAACAAAAAAGAAAGAAAGAAAAAGAAATCCGAGCGGCCGCCATCGTTTCACCTCTGCCGTCTGGTTAGCCAGCTAGCTTGCGAAAGGCTAGCCGCCGCAACTCTTGCGGGAGACTTCGGCAAGGACCACAAAAGCAAGCAAAGCGGTCTCGGACATGGCGGAAACCAAAATCATCTATCACATCGATGAAGAGGAGACTCCGTATTTGGTCAAGATTCCCATCGGTGCCGAAAGTATCACCCTGCTGGATTTTAAGCAAGTCTTGAACAAGCCCAACTACAAGTTCTTCTTCAAATCTATGGACCAGGACTTCGGGTGAGTTCCAGTACGCGTCCTCGAACTTGCAAAAGGATCAAAAAAAAGTTTGCGATGAAATCACAAGCGAAAAGTTGCCTCCAGCGAGGGGCTGCGTGGGCATCGTGATCGTGGATCCCAGCAAACATCACCATTACCGGGGCGGGGGGGGCATTACCTGTACGTCGCGATTTTCTTTGCACGACCCCCCCCCCACCACCACCACCCTACATCTCAGGGTAATGTCCTGTTTTGTTGTTGTTGGGGAGGGGGGGGGTGTCAAGACCCCCCCCCTTTTTCCCTTCACCTCCAGATGGACGCAACAAGCTCCTCTCTATTGAGTCATCTTTTCGTGCCGGCTGCTAATCCTGCTGCAGAGGAACGCGTGATCGACTTGTGAGCTTTCTGCAGCGGCCGAAGACCCCTCGTGCCCTACTTGGGACGGACATAGATATTAACCATCTCAATCGATTTTCACCATGTGGGACCGACCCCCCCCCCCCCACACACACACACACACACACAAATTAATGTCTATGGCATTTGCATTAGTCGTACGCTAGAGACCTAAAAGCTAAGTGGTGTGGCTGTTTTGAATATGGCGTGTGGAATTGTCATATATTATCTGTGGTGGGTTACCACATTGGCCTCACGGTATCGAGGCCCAGGGTCCGATTCCAGGCTTTGGCCTTCCTGTGTGGCAACCAGTTGAGGGGGTACCCCCACCTGCCGCCCCGTGACTGTCTGTGACTTTAACCTCAGACATAACGATTTGCCTTGTAGTTGAGTGGTTCGCGCGTCAACCTCACAGTGCAGATGTTGTGGGTTCCTGTGTGGAGTTTGCACGTTCTCGCCGGGCCTTCGTGGGTTTTCTCCGGGTACTCCGGTTTCCTCCCACATTCGAAAAACATGCGTTTCTGCTTGATTGGGCACTCCAAATTGTCCCTGGGTGTGAGTGTGAGCGCGGATGGTTGTCGGTCTCTGTGTGCCCTGTGATTGGCTGGCAACCGGTTCAGGGTGTCCCCCGCCGACTGCCTGACGACAGCTGGGATAGGCTGCAGCTCACCCCGCGACCCTTGTGAGGATAAAGCGGATCGGAATTTTGACCTTTGTTTCTCCGTTTCAGGGTCGTGAAGGAAGAGATTTCGGACGATGGTGCCAAGTTGCCGTGTTTTAATGGACGTGTGGTGTCCTGGGTAAGTACTCTCTTTCAAATGCGACTTTCCACAACCGCTCTTGGTTTTCGCCGCGACCCCCAAAGATACCCCAAATCCGCCGTGTGTGCTTAAAACTTCTTTCCAGACTGAGGTGGCTGAAATTTGTCAAAAACTAGGGCCGGAACGATTTTTTTTTTTAAGGCTGATTCCGATATTTGACAGGAAAAAAAAAGATTATACCCCATCCCCCGAGTTCAGATGGACTGGACGTCTACTAGCGAGAAACTAATTGAAATTCATAACAGAAGGACGAACAGGTTGGTGATCAGGGCGGCTTTCTTCCTTCAACATCAGCTTCCTCGTCGCCCTGCCTGGATCTAACGTTTAAAGGAGAGACGAAACACTGCGATCGGACTTGGCCCGGTTGAGCAGGTTTGAGGCTCAAGCATCTGTTAAGTGCATAAGAATGAAGGGAGCTCTTTAAAACGAATTCACCCGGGGGGAGCGATATGTGAGCCGCGATATGTGAAGAGGGGCGGAGGGAGCCCAAAAGACAGCGGAGGCTTTGGGCGAGTGAGCGTGTTGCAGGGTCGGGGCTGATGGGCGGGCCCTAAAACGGCCGCTCAACTCCATTTAGTGGACTTGAAGAAGGCCGTCCGCCTGTCCAGTAAACGCGCGGCGGCTCAGCTGCAAGGTGCAAAGCGAGTGTTTGCGCTTGCAGGCAGTCGCGTGGCGCACGTTCAACCCGAGCGTCGACGGGCCTTTGTTTGACCAAAGTCGTGCGGCTCAAAAAGGAAGCATCGCATTTCAGTGACCCCCGTAAGACGTCCGCCCGTCAAAATAGTGCTTTTGTGTTCCAAAAAAATGGCCATCTTACCTCTTGATCGTCCTTGTGGCACCCATCCCCCCCACCCCGGCTAATTGATGGCTTTGCCTTTGTTTTTGACGTCAGCTGGTGTCTTCGGACGCTCCGGCGGCAGAGCCAGCGGCTCCGGCAGCTCTTCCCGCTGTGGAGACGTCCAGCCAGCCGTCGCCCCCTCCGCCGCCGCTGCCGCCCCCGCCGGCCGAGAGAACCGGGGGCATCGGGGACTCCAGACCGCCGTCCTTTCAGTAAGGAATTGAAAATGAACCCCCAAAAGCTCACGTATGATATCAAATGTCAAAGACAAAAATTTCCACTGTCATAGCAGCATATTTTCTCATTTTTGGCGCGGGCCACATTTTAGTTGCCGTTTCCCTTGGAGGGCCACGATGACTGAAACTATATCAAGAAGTCAAGAAGAACGTTTTATTCAACTATTGTTTCAGTAACTGTAATAAGAGGTTTGGTCACAAGAAAATGCTTACAATATCGCTCTCATTTATGAAAATTTGAAATTTTGTTCCACATTTTAGCAAGGATGTGTGCAGGTAAGTATGAAGTTGTCATCTTTGATTTGCTTTTGTGGGCCTTGAATTTGACACCTGTCTTAGATGGTCTTTTTTTATTTTAAAAGCGTCTTTTTATCATTTTTATTCACGATGGAAAATACTTTTTTGATTTTGGTTATTTTGTTAGTTCTGGTGACCTAAAATAACTTTGGCAACGAGCACTTTTCAAGTTGGCCGGCAGATGCTGGCCCGCCGGCGTTTCGGCCTCCATCATCAAATGACAACTTTTCTCTCGGAAGTTTCACGAGATGTGCCATTTGCGCGCCTGGACTTGACCCCAGACTGGAATTCTTTTACAAATGGACAATGAAAATAAAGATGTGTTTTTGTTTTGATCCCCCGTCTCCCGCAGTCCCAACGCTACGGGCAGCGTGGAGACTCTGGACGAGCAGACCGAAACGGAGTCCGTGGTTTCCTTCAGGAGAGAGAGACCTCGGCACAGGGAGAGCGCCGAGCAACACGGTGAGCTATCAAGATGTGGCGCGCCGCCATCGCCCGCTGCCCCTCTCGCGATGCAATCAAAGAACGGTGTTTTTAAAAAAAAAAAAAAAAACGACATCCGGTGGTCGCTCCCTTTTCAG